CAGCACAGGTTCTGTATAGGTGCCTAGGAAGAATGGATACTGCTGCAAATTGTTTTGAAGAAGTTTGCAGGCTGGGATTAAAGAAACACTGGAAGAAACAATGATTGGCATGTTGGCATGTCCATATGTCACCTACCAAGGAATTTTCTTTTTTTCCTTGTAAGGCACACATTTCCAAACATCTTTTTTCTTCTTCACTGGCAGCAGTATCCCTGTAAGGAATGCTACTGCATGATTGGGTATCAATGCGCCATGAACATTGCTGAACACAACTTCATATCCCACCACAGGCATGGCCTATATCCCAACAAAGCCCTGCTTAAGTGTCATCTGCTTATTTGTAGAGGATGTACCTTTGCTGATTGACTAGCAACTGAGTTAGATCCATGGGAGTTTTCTCAATATCTTTTACAATGTTAAGTTTGCATTCTTGGCAAAAGCCACCAGTGGTTCGCTGAATTTGTTAATTAATTTATGTGATTTGATGACTCCATCAAATATCTGGAGGTTCACACCAAGAGGAAAAAACTGTGATGACCTCAGTTTGCAACCTGCCAGGAGCATACAATTCTGTTAATATTTGCTCATATTACACCTTCCTACTGCATCAGAAGAGTGTAATGTAGCCAGTGCAGGCAGACACTCCTTCCTTAAAGGGAGCTGACATGCCGTCAACTTCAGTGGTTTTTCTGTCACATATCTTAACTGTATCCAGTAAAATCTAAGTAATTTAGTCAAAAGTGCTTTAAACAAAAATATTATATGAAATTTAGTTGACTAAACCTCAGAAAAATGAGTGTAATTTTCCATTATTTCTGTTTATGTTTTAAATAGATTGACAATGAAATACTGAACTCCCTTAAAAATAAATTTGAAGTTACTCCTAGGTTTAAGTTTCAGTTTTGTGTTGGTAAAGCAGAAGAAAGGGAATTTAGATCACTTTGTAGCCTTCTTTTTTTTTTTATGAAACCCTTGAGTCTAAAAGAAGAAAACCAGCCTATGCAAAAGCATATCCTCTTTTTCCCCTTGTCTGTGCAAATTCTTCCGGAGGAATACAAATTCTACTGGCCAAATTCACATCTGAGTTTCTCAAAGAGAAATGTTTGCTCACTTTCACAGTGAACAAAACTCTAGCAGAAACAACACTCACAAAATTTTCCCTTGCTGACATAATTTTCCTAGATACAACAAGGCAACTTGCTTGATGAGGCTGATATTTAAATTCTGATTGTAAACCAAACCTTTTTTCTAATGCTCCTAGTTTCACTAAGTTTAAGATTATAAAAGCAAATTGAGAATATAAGCCATAAAAAGTAGTAGTGTTAAACAGCAGATGCACTGGCTGAAGTAAGATCTTCTTTCTCTTAAATGACATGTCAGTAATCTGCATTCTTCAAAGAAAAATAAAGTTGTCTTGTCAGGAGAAACTGTCATTGCATGTCCAGATAAGAAAATAAAAATAACTTAATATAGGAATAATTTAACAGATAACAGACAAGAAAGAAGTAAATGTACCCTGGGGAATATGCAAATCATACTGACTGAAGTTATGCATCTGCCTACTAACTTATATTTTGAGATCACAAAACTGAACTTAATATCTATTTCCTTATTGTTTTGCAGGTTAACTGGTACCATTGCAATCCCTTTCTCTGACCTGCTGAACTATATTGTACTAAAGTTCTACTATAGTGCTACATACTACTGTAGTTCTATTATATAGTACTACTATACTACTGACTAGTAGTCATGTAGAAACCTCACAGGGCTATTGCGCTTTAAGACTCATATTCAACATAATACTGAAACACTAATGATTCTCTTCTCCTGCTGTTTTGCTCAGATCATGCTCCCCTTGCTACTGGATCAGGAATTAAAAAGTTGCAATGCTCTTCCTTATTTTCCAGTTATAGCCTTCTTCCCTAATTCTCCGCTAAAGCCTTAATCATTAAAATCAGTCTTTGGACCATCATTGAAATGGCCTGGCTTGCATTGAGATCTTCAGCATTAGGAAAGGGAGTAAGTTATTTCAAGTGCAGTCAACTAAAGTAATAATTAAACACAACTTCCTGGTACCCAGGAACACTTTACTGCTTTCTGATGTTGTATGTTTTGTCTACAAATATCTTAGAATAAAATGCTTCAACTGTGCTACCCAGATTTAAGTTTGCAACGCTCATTTGGCTGCCACCACACTAAAATATACAGGTTTTACATCTGTCTGTACAAAGTAGACTTCATTACAAGGTTCAGCAGAAAAGAAAGAACCATACTTATAGCAATATTCTAGTATTTGAATATTAACTTTAAAGAAACCAAAAAGAAACCCAGAAACCATAGTATTTATTTCAGGTAATTTTGTTCAAAAGAAAAAATAATAAGCAGTGTCATGTGAGCTGATGAAAAGCAGAACCACTTAAAGAACCATGACACTGGTTTAATTACCTTTCTTTCCCCATACCAAATATCTCGCTGATATGTAACTGAAATTCCAGTATTACAAATAGTCTAATTTTGAAAGACAACTTACATCCATTTTGTAGTTTGCGCTGCAATGCAAAACTGCTAATTCCCAATGCCTTTCTGACCTTCTCCTCTTTTACACAATCTTGTAATTTTTTTTTTAATTAATGCTTTAATAACAAAATTTTATAAAGCTGTGCAGTCCCAGGACAGCAAAAACATCTACCACCAGGCAGGGTTCTACCAGATACAGCTTTGAAAGGCTGATCAGATTTTTCCTCTAAAATAGGATGCATCATACAAGGTAACATGAGTTACTGAAACAAGAATGCAAAAAAGATGCACTGTATAATGCATTGGTTTTAAAATTCTAGAAATCAACAGTGTGTATATGCTATTGGAATTTGTTGTTGGAATAAATATGGTTGTATCTCCAAGGACAAGCTGAATCAATGGATTAAATGAATTCTTTTATCATTTCTTAGTCACTCTAATTTTAACAAGCATTTCACATGCTTGTTAAAATTAGAGAGACTAAAGGAGATGCCAACTATTTAGAGTAGAATATTATCAAATATTATGAGCATTAAATATTTTAACCTACACAAGTATAGGAAGAGTCAAGAATAAATTACAAGTACATTAATTACCAGTACCATACAAGACATACAAGATGTACAAAGATGAAGCCCAGTATATTTTACCATAACAGTACTCCAGCTAGTGCTACTGAACCTTATTTTGAGAGCAGAGAACCCCACTTGGGTTTTGGGCGTGTGCACATATCAGCATACATCAGGCCAATCTGTGCCTCCCCAGTGCTGTTACATTTACACCTTCTGACATGGAGAAATGTGTTACCTATTTGCTAAACCTCTGTCCCACAAAAAGCTGGGGAGCACATAATACTGTTAAAATTAATTGTAGTTGTGTCTTACACATAAGTCCCCCACACAGTCCCTAATGGAGAGCAGAGAAAGCCAACATTCATCTTGCTGATTATTTGATTATAGATAGATGACAGCACATGCACCCTGCACCATGTTTGTTATTCACACTGGGGCTCCTTCAGTGCTCCGGTGTGTCTGAACCAGGTTGGGCGCTGAACTGCTGGGAAGCAGCTCTGCTGAGAAGGACTTGGCGGTCCTGGTGGACAAGAAGCTGTCCCTGAGCCAGCAGTGTGTCCTTGTGACCACCAAGAATGCCAGTGGTATCCTGGGGGGCATTAGGAAGAGCCCTGCTGTCTGATTTTTGGCTGTTTGGATGGCCTGGAAAGGCCCGGGGTGGCCTTGGGGCAGCTCACGCTTCAAAAGACGAGAAGAGGCTTCAAATCTTTTCTCGGTCTCGGTGTTTATTAATTACTTACCTAAAAGATTTTCTCTCGGCCCGACAGAGGTCTGCTCAGCAGCCAGCCATGAGCACACTCCCTCCCTTCCGGGGCGGTCATCTATCTTTATACTCAAAGTTACGTATACAATATTTGTCATTTTTCCCCAATACCTTTTGCCCTTATTAACCAGTGCACTTTTAGTAATAACCAATCCCAAAGTGCCACCATCACCACAGAAGATGGAGGAGAAGAAGAAGAAGGACAGGACACGCCTCAATTCCTCTATCTTACTTCTCTAAACCCCCCTGTACAGAAATCCTAAACCCTGTGTTTCACTCTCTAATTAACTTATCCCTTCACCATTCACTCCGGTGAAATCCTCCTATCCTCATACAAGTGTCTCCTGTGTAGGATCAAAGTCCAGCCACCAGACACTTCTGGCAACATTCCAGGACTCCCGAGCCCCCCAAGGGTGGTCTCGGTGACTCGGCACCTCAGTCCTGAGGTGCTGAGATCCCACACCCTGCCAGCAGGTCATGGAAGGTGATCCAGTACTCAGCCCTGCTGAGGCCACCCCTGCAGTGCTGGGTCCAGTTCTGGGCTCCTCAGGACACGAGAGACATGGAGCTCCTGGAGCTCCTTGGGTCCAACGGAGAGCAAGAGAGGTGTGATTAAAGGACAGCGTTTCTCTTACAAAGAAAGGCTGAGGGAGCTGGGCCTGTTCACACCCAAGAAAAAGAAGAAACACCCCCTTGAAAAGAGAGGACCTCATCGGTGTCTAACAGCGTCTGAAAGAGGGTGTGAGAGGGTGGAGCCAGGCTCCTCACAGCAACGCCAGGCTATAGGACAAGAGGCAACACGCAGAAGCGGATAACGTTCCACCTGAACGTGAGGAAGAACTTTTACTGTCCAGGTGACTGAGCACTGGAACAGACTACCCGAGCGGGTGCCGAGTGTCCCACACTGGAGATGTTCAAGAACCGCCTGACACACGCCTGTGCCATGTGCCCTACGCTGTCCCTGCTGGAGCAAGGGACACCATCACCCGGCCGAGAACCCCCGGACCAACATTCCCCTCACGGATAGCGCGCTGCCCCGCTCCGCCCCGCCCTGCCCCGCTCCGCCCCGCCCTGCCCCGCTCTGCTCCGCTCTGCCCCGCCCCGCTCCCCGAGCTGCGCCTGCGCAGAGCCCCGCGCGGGGGAGGTGCCCTTGGGGCCGAGGCGCGGCGGGGCGTGACACCACCCGGTGACGTCACTCCGATGACCCCAGCCGAGAGACGTCAGGAGTGTGACGGCAGGGGCGCCGGAGGTGGGGGTGCCTGGGCCGGGGCCGTCCGCGCTTATGGAGGACGAGGACTGCCCGGACCTGGTCCCCATCGGCGCCGGCGGCGCGGAGGTGGCCGATGCCGGCCCCGACAGGAAGATCCCCGTGACGATCATCACGGGGTACTTGGGTGAGGAGCGGGAGCGGCTCTCGGCAGGGACTGCGTGCGGGCAGGGAAGGCCCGGGCGGGCCGGGTGAGCAGCGCGGGGCCAGGGCTGCGGGCGGGCGGGGGCCTGCACCCCACGGGCCGGGCGAGCAGCGCGGGGCCCTCCGGCCGCTCCCGTGGGTTTGCAGGGCCGCTCTGAGGAGCGGTGTGAGCACCCAAAGCGTTGCTGTTTCCACCGCCCTGCTTTCAGGAGCCGCCTCGTTCAGGTCACGATTGACAAATGGCTCTTGGTCACTTAGCGTCAGAATAGTGCAACATATTTGGCTCAGTTAAATGCACACTGCATTGCAGTCCGAAAAACGCGAGGTTCGGCGTTTTTCCCGTACCCCTCGACCAGCAGAGTTACTGTGTGCTACACGCAGTTATGGACTGCAAGAATCTGGTTAAATTTAGGATCGCAGTCACTGTGCTGAAAATTGTAGCTTTGTACTGCATCACATTGCTGCAGAGAAAAATCTCTTAAGGACGAGTAAGGAAGGTTACCTAGTTGTAGTGGTCACCTGCCTTGGGCTGGATGATCTCCAGAGATTCCTTCCAGCCTTGACAATTTTGTGATATTGTGCATGGGATGAAACTCTACTCCTAAGGCTCCTCAGAACACGTTTTGTAACACGTTTTTTAACAATGCCCCGTTTAAAGGTACATCCGTGGTTACTGATGGCAGAACAGGTCAGAAAAGGCCGTAAAGAGGGAGAAGATTAGGTTGCCTTCTGTTAAAAGTAGCATAAAAGTTAGTGTTGTAGGAGAAAACTGCCAGCTAGTAAAACTGCCCTACAAGCTAGTAGGGAGCTTGTAAGTTTATTAAGTACTGACACTTAATGAATGGAAAAAATGTGAGTCATTTAAGGCTGCAATTTAATGTCCTGATAGAAATATATCTACAAATTAATTTCTACATCATTAGAATAGAATGTAGGACATCAGAATGAAAACTTCTATTTAGAAGAGAATTGCTTGAAGTGTGCGTGTGCATGCATAACAGTATTTAGTTTTTATTTGAAATATGTGTTTTTTTAAACATTTCAATAAAAATATGGTCTGTGTTCTAGGAGCTGGAAAAACAACTCTTCTAAATTACATACTGACGGAACAGCATAATAAAAGAATAGCAGTTATTCTGAATGAATTTGGAGAAGGTATGTAAACGTGCAGAAATCTTTCTTTTTGCCACAAAATGACAAGTACATAAAACTACTGGAAACTGAGACTATTGTAACTTTAAATCTATTACTGAAATTATTAACATACGTCACAGTCTTCAGAAGGGCAGAAAGTCTTTTTGCCGGTTTTCATAAAATAGTGACGTGCATTAATCTATTTTGCACATAAGTGTAGGCCCTCAGAGTAAAGTAAATAAATACATCACCCTATTGGAAGTGCTGCACTTCCATTTGTCTCACTCAGTTTCAAGCAAATGGAAATTGAAATAATATGTTGGTAGATAATATTTTTTTAAATTTCCTTTCCCCTCAGCCATTTGCAAATCACAAATTATCATGGACCAAGAAAATGGGGAGATGTGTGCTTGATGGCTGTGGTTCTTTGAACTCTTTGCTTTCCGAACTTTTAATTGCTCTAGCTGTAATTTCATGTCTGTAGCATAGTCAGAAGCTTACATTGTTTACAGTTTATACTGTGTTGGTCGGGGTCTCTCTGTTTGTTTGTTTTCATCAGTAAAGATGTGTGTAGCTTTTCTGGTCACAGAGCCCAAAAGAAAACGTACAGACAGAGCCTTTATTTGACAGGGAGGCACAGGCTGGCATTCCTTTCTTTTAGCAAAGTTTGCGGCACTTATGATGTGCTGTCAAGCAGTGGGGTTTGATCTTTGTGGAATGAGCTTTGTCTTGGCTTTTAAATTTCCCATAAAATAGAAAATACAAATATCTTAAGAACATGTCAGAAACGTGGTCTCAGGAGAAAATAATGTAATTCACATATCTCTCTCTTACAGGCATTGTCATGCAAGATTGTAGATTAAAAATATAGCACTACTTGTGTTTTCAGGAAGTGCCTTGGAGAAATCTCTGGCAATCAGTCAAGGGGGAGAACTCTATGAAGAATGGCTGGAGCTCAGAAATGGCTGCTTGTGCTGTTCCGTAAAGTGAGTGCAAGTTCTGTGCAAGTTCTTCCAGTGGATATTGTGGGGAATTGAGGAAGGGAGAAGACATCCAGGATTTGATTCCTGAAACTGAGGGTAGAATTGATTGAGACTTCTTTTGTTGGATGAAACAATTGGAATTTGGGAAGTAGAAATTTACTGGATTTGGACTTGGTGTCTTTCAGAAAAGTAATCTAAATACCAACTTATAGAGCATGGGGATGTTGTAGAGTAGGGATCTATCCCTCTATTGTTAGTATAATGTGCTTTCATGTAGAGAGCTGAAGATTCAGGTAGGCTGGAACTAGGACTCAGGTTTCCCAATTTCTTCACGAAACGCTTAGTCCGCTTCTTTCTTTGTACATTGGTTACTACTTCAATATAGTAGAAAAGGATCCTTTCATCAGAAAGGATGAATGGAAAACCTTTTGTGACCTAATGAAACACAGTATCCAAATCTGTAAGCTGATGGTCATGGTAAAAAGCAAGAGAGTATTTGTTCCTTTGACAGTTTTTTTACCCTTTTTGTTTGTTGCAATGCTGAATTGTTTGTGCTAAGTTTGTAAATAAGGGTCATGGCCTGTTTATCCTAAAAATTTGGGAGAACTGATCTTATGCCTTAAATAGTAATAGGTAGTAAGTGGAAAACAGAGGATCTTACTGGATTCTGTTGTTCTGGAGTGAAAGAACACTTAAGAGAAGCATTAAAGTTTTATATACATTGGGGTTTTTTTATTGTTTTTGTATGCTGTTTTATATGCTTCTGTGTTTTATATACAATGGTTTCTTTAAAAAATGCTATACATTTCTGGTTTAGGCTGACTTCATCAGCTCTAATTTAAGTAAATGGCACATTAATCTTGGTGTAGGTGAGACAGAAAGGCAGGGCAGCATGCTTCACTTCTACCTCACCCCTAATTCCTGTAATATCAGCTGCCAAACCAAATAGTTCCATATCTACACAGCCCTACTGTCCTTTACAGGTTGTTCAGTGTTTGAAAACAAACCTGGTGGGATTAGGCAAATGCTATTTTTAGACTAAAATGAAGCAGAAAACTAAAATTTGCCTAATAATGTGCCAGCAGATAGCTAAATTTTTGTTGCAGACTGTAAGTCTGCAAACGTCCTGTCTCAGAACTTTTGCTTTGATGATACTGACACTGTGTTCTGCATCAGAAGATACATTTAAATACATGCTTCAGCTTGTTTTCTCTGTTCTCAGGTTTAATTGTTTCTTCTTACAGGGACAATGGTGTGAAAGCAATTGAGAACCTGATGCAAAGGAGAGGAAAATTTGACTATATATTGTTAGAAACAACTGGTCTGGCAGATCCAGGTAGTTCACATTACAATTTTCATAACCATGATAATTATTCTGTTTTTATGAAGTGCTTATTAGCTCACCAGTTAGTTCACTTTGACAGTTGTAATATAAAGTGGTGATTTGTCAGGCGCCTATGCTTTGGTGTTGGTACAGAGTCCAATGAATTGATTAAACATGCAGATATGACGTTGTCTTTGTTGAGTTCTGTTTGCTGACCTTAGTCTAAATTGAATCTAAAGCTTAGTAGAAATCCGGCTAAAATATATTTCCATTTAAAAAAGACACTGGGCTTAGCAAAGAGAAGCGTACTCTAAAACTAGTAGTTTTCAATACACTTTTGATGTTCTACATTCCTCCTTTTAAAGTCTAAATAGTTAGCATCTGTTGTATTGTTTCACTGGTTGTGATAGACCTTGTATTTTGTGAAGTTGTAAAACATACTGTGAAACAGACCAGCACATTCTTCTTAAAGAGCAATAATAGATTTTACAAAATCCTTCTGTGCTCTTTAGTAGTATTTATTATAAAAAAGGTCATTAAACTTGATCTCATGTTAGGAATAGCTATCCAAAACAGTTTTCTTTAAACCATCCACATTAAAAATCTGTTGTAGATGGAGAGGGAAGGAAATTCTTATCAGAAATTCAATTGTTTCCCCTTTAGGAGACTGGTGCTTTCCAGCTCAAAGCTAAATAGTTGTCATTATAAAGTAATTTTCTTCAAAAGACAGGACATTGATTTGGCCTCTGTTACACACAAATTCTGTTTGAGTCAAATTGGAAAACTATTAAGCTTTTTGGGAAAAAATCAATAGATACCAGAAAATGATTTCATGTTGTGGTCCCTGCTATATCTTGCCTGAGTAAGCACTAGAACAGCTGACAGGTATTTGGGTCTGGTACAGAGTGGTGTTTGAAGGACTGCATCGTATCACTTCAGTTGGACAGTTTTAGGTGTTGCAATGACTTTAGTCACTGATCTTATTGTTAGCACTGCAAATAGAGTTTTTCTATGAAATACCTCAGTGTTGGTAGTTTACTGGAAAAATCTCAATTTTTCAACTGTACATATACTACACATCTTAGGAGCTGTGGCCTCCATGTTTTGGGTTGATTCTGAGCTGGGAAGTGACATCTATCTTGATGGTAAGTGCAGGCTTATTTTCCTGTGTATTGGCATTTCATATCTGCATTTAGAGTAATGTATTATTGGTGTTTTAAGGCAGGGCTTGAGAACATGTTTGAAATGTATGAACTTGGTTTTCACGCTGGCAGATTTGATCACAGAGGTGTCCCTGCTTATTCTGATGCTTGTTTATTTACTTGGGGAGGCGCTCAGTCTTGCAAAAGCCAGCAAAAGTTGTTTAATGCTTTTCTAAGGGATCAGATATGGACAGCTCTTGACAGTGATGTAAGGGGAAAATCTCATTAGCTAGCTGTTATAAAACCTCATTTAGGAGTAATATTACAGCATGCTTTTTTTTCTTTCCTCCTTCCTCCCCTTCTACTGAAGTGCAGTGTTACCTAAAGGGTTTCCTATTTTTCTGAATTTATAAATTGTCAACACCTGGATGTTTCTGCCTTTTGTTTTCTGCTTTCTTCACCTATTGTATTCGTTGGCGCTAATATTTGCTGTGTTCTAATAAAAACCTGAGATTACTGAAAGATAAGTCATCACTATATGTAGTTAAAGAGCATTTTTTTTAATGTAGGAAAAAAATTACTTTTTGGCTTAAAAAAATGCCCTATTAACATTTTGTTCAGTCTCTAAAATACCCATCTAACCAAGGAAGGAAACATTGAGTTCAGTAAGAAGGAGCTTCCTGAGTTTCTGCCAGAGACTTGCAAATTCCTGGTCATTTACTATCAGAATGGCTGCATACATCAGTCAGTCCCTTAATTTGTTTCAATATTATGTAAAAGCATACCTCAGCCAATTTCCTCTTGTGGAAGATGAGGCATCTATTTTGTAAGAATTTACCTCACCTGGTTCTGTAGACATTTTACTATGACAGATAAGACAATGAATAAAAAAATACTTAGGTAACAAGTTAAATGTTCACATACTTTCAGTGCTTCCAGTTTATTATAACTAGTTGTAAATGTTAAAAGTTGTTAAACTGTCAGCTGCATTTAGCACATTTCTATTCCATTTTAATGCTTTCTTTTAGGTATTGTGTCAGTTGTTGATGCAAAGCATGGATTGCAGGTAAGTTACTAGATTTGTTACATTGCTTAAAACTGCATCATTAGAACAGCTATTGCAGTAATGTTCATGGGGATTAATTAATTTTACCAATAGCTGTAATTCTTTGAATGAGGACATATTTCATTATTACTGTCTTTTGGATGGCAAAAGGAAGTACTGATATTTGCAGGAATTCACATTCTTACAGACACAGCAACAGGTGTGACAAGAGATGCCAGGTCGCTAAGGTTTGGTTTCTTGGTTTCTTCTAGTTCTAAATCTTCACTCAGGAATGTTGCTTTTAATCCAAATAGGCATTTGGATTGCTGTAAAAACAATGGAGAAATTGGTCACTGGTCTGTGTTACTTGAAAGGAGAGGACTAAGAACAGATGTCTTATACCAGTGTGGTAACAAGTGAGTTAGGGCTCCACCTGAGAAGGGTACTAATGTAATGGTAGCTGTGGTAAGGAGAAATGAGAGCACAGGTGTCCTGGTACTGCTTCACATTAACATGTTATACGGAAGCAGACAAAAAGAGCAGGTATTAATCTGTATATAAAGTACAATGTAAGAACAGACATATAGAACAGTGAGCTTAGGTCAGCAAAGATTGTGATTAATTCAAATAGTTCAGGTTTTTGTTTCATTTTTTCTTTTTTTTTTGGTAATAGGGTGTAAATATAACTATTTGCAGCTTAATAACTTAGGAGGTTAGTGCTTTGATTGGATATTGAATTTGCAGGATTTTAAAAAAAGTGAGCATATGAAAAAAATACCTTCACCATTTGAGAAATGGTGCTCACTTTTAAAATTTCAAATGTTTATTAGGCCTTAACAAGATACAACAAAAGGACTGAATAAGGAGAAAGACCTTAGGGGGGAAGGGGAAAACAGAGAATGTCTAAACAACAAATCACAATAAGGTGACTATACATTAATAGAACTTCTCTTACACACACATAATATTCATCCTTTAATTGCAGGAGCCAGCCACTACATTACCCATCTATAATAATCATATAGAAATTCCATGCTGTGAAAGTGTTTGTAATATTCTGCATCTACAATGGCTACAAATAGCTCAGAGAACTGAAGAATAATGGTTTAAGAATAAGAGAGTAGTTCTTCCCGTGTAAGATTTTTTTTGTTTGGATTACTTGAGTTTCTCCTTTCATTTGTGCTTATCTGATAGCTGATTTACCAAAAGGGTAAGTTTGGTAAAAAAAAAAAAAAAACAAAAAAGGATATCAGATTAGATTTAAAAAAAGGGTAAATCTGGTTAGCAGTCTTGTTCTCTCATCAATTTGTCTTGGACTGGAACAGAGAAAATGGAACATCATAGCAATTTGGAAAGTTAAGTTCATTGTGCTCTGCAAGAACTTTTGTGGAGAAGTTGGTAGAATAGTGAGGGGAAGGGGGTGATTTGCCCTTCCAAGCAGTCACCGTCTTCTAAATCCCCTCAACTATCACAAGAAATCATATCATGTTTTTGGTCAGCCCCTTTTCAGCTGGGTTCCCTCACATTAATTCAGATGTGTTTTATATTATATATTGCTTGCAAAAATGTTGTTCTGTTTATCTTTTCCTTCATGCAGTGCTGAAATATTGTCTCAGATGAAATATAATTGTGTTGCACACAGCAGCACTACATTGTTAATGAAAATGAGTTTTAAAATACTAGACTGTCAAGTAATATAACAGAAACAACACAATAATGTTTTGAAACATTTAAATTTTCTATCTACTATTACCTTTGGCACCTCAACGAAAACATACATAATCTGATCAGTAAACCTGTAAAACAGACATCTACACAGAATAGTAGGAACTTCAGAATTTCTTAGTTGTGTACTAAGTAAACTTTGGTATAGAAGGACTTGCTAACTTGTTTAGTTCTTCTGATAGCAAAGCCTGACCTCAACAGCTGCTTATTATTCAAAGAAGTTTGAAAGCCATACAGGTAATGGCATTGAGATAATGTGCAGCAATTTAAGTATGTCATGCTTCAAAGAACCTACCCATCGCAGAAAAGCTGACAAACATCCCCTGTGACCAACCATACCACCATCCCCATGCTAATTAATACCATGGATTATCAATTTAACAGGTTTGTCACAAAGCAATCTGAAATACTAATTTCTTTAATCGAGGGTGAACAGTTGGACAGCTTGAAGTTGCAGTCTTCAACTTCCAGGACCTGACATCTGCACTACTGACATTTGATCTTTTCAGGGCAGCAAACCTAAACAGTAATTGAATAGAATCAATACACAGAGGATTACAAAGAAGAGGTTAGAGGAGAGGTTCCTGAGAGTCATCTTGTTGTTATTTTCTGCTTAGGTTGTGCACAAGCAGGAAATAGTTTTGTTTCTTTTTACATAATAGACTCCCAGTATGCAATAACCTATTTTTGCTTTTCTACAAGTAAAATACTGTTAAATGCCTGGTGATTCCAATAAAGAAAAAAAGTTTTCAAGGTTTTTAAAAAGCTGTATACTTCCCATGGCAATTGATTCCACTTTTAATTTGTTATTTCTCTAACTGGAAACTGAGATTTTAAAGTAATATTACTGGTAGATGTAGAGGTGATGAAGGAGTGCACAGGACTCTAACTTTCCTAGAGATGTAAGTGTAAGCGGCAAGTTCTTATTAATATTACAGCACCAGTTTGAAGTTTTTCTTCCTCCAGATGTCTGTGACATTTTTATCCTAGAGATTGCTACCTCCATGGCAGAGTGGGCTGAAAATAATTTATAGCTTGACCTTTGCTGCTTCAGTGTAGTCTGTTGCTGTGCCTAAGTTAAGTAAGCCTTTGTCTTGCTAAATGTTATGCTGCTGCTTGAGATGCAGGTATTTTCTTCCCTTTCACTAATTCTTCTGTGGAGACACTAGCTTGGGCAGACAAATGGAGATGATACTGAAGCTCCTGTAGCTTCTGATTTTGGACAGACTTGCCAAAGAGCAGTGGTTTATTCATGCAAACCTGGGAAAAGTTATCAGTTTTTACTATCAAAGTACAGTTTGTCTTTGAGTCTTCAGAGAAAAAGAATGTGAAGTTACATATAAGAAATGTTGTATTGCAAGCCTAGCCTGTGTTTAGTTTGTTAGTTGAGTTCACACTCCTTTGTAAAATAACTGAACCCTAATTTTCTTCCAGATATATTTTTTCATTGTCACTCTATGTTATGGTAACTTTTCTACTTCATTGTAAAGCTGAAAAGTAATTAAATATTATAAGGTTTTTCAAGCCTTTAGCATTCTAATAATAGAATCAATTAGGAGAGTTTGCTTTAAGCTAATTAAAAATCCCTGTAGTGATGAATATATAAATGTACTTTTTCACTATCATTTAACAAAAATATTCTGGATGCCATCTTCCTCAATGCTTTGTCAAAAAACAGACTTCACTGAATTGGATTTGGCTTTCTTTAATTGCAAATCAATTTAAATGTAATTTGAAGATGTTTAATCCAATTCTTTTAATTTTTGTTTAGCACTTGACAGAGGAGAAACCAGAAGGCCTTATTAATGAAGCATCTCGGTATGGATGTAGAAATTAATTTTATATATAAAGTTGGGAATTGCACTGTATAAAAGTTCATTGGAAATGGATTCTTTTATAGGGCTTTTTTCTCCTGCTTTGCTTAAACGGAGGTAGATTGGTGTAATGAGGTAAAATGTGGAAAAATAACATCATGGTTCATTTGATCTTTCTGTCAACAACGAACTGTTCTATTTTAATAGTGATGGGATTTTATTTAAATGAATGAGAAGCACCCTTGTTGGTGGAATTAAAAATGTCATGCTTGAAGCCGAACTGGAGATAGAAGAATACTTTTTTATAAATGGAGGGCCTCAATATTTAAGGGTTATTGTAACAGTTGAAGTCTTCATAAAGCAAAGAAACTTCAAGTATTGCATTACAAGGATCACATAAGGATATAATCTCATTGGCAAATAGGGATTTGTAAAGTTGTTAAATCACTAAGCACTTTGGGTTAGATGACATAAAAAATCCAAACAAACAAATAAACAAAACAACCCTGAAATAAAAGAATCTAGCAAGCCTTGATTTGATCTGTTAGGGCACAGAAGAACATACTGAGAAGTCAGTTGTGTTTTAATCATTCTCCATCATGTTCTAGTTTGATTAATGCTTGCCCTTCTGTACTAACAATGTTCATACTACCTTTTGGGGTCATGGGAGAGATAATGTTTCTGCCTTACAGATAAAGTACTTGTTTGTTAGTGATGTCTTTTCTCTCCTTCTTTTCTTAATACATAGGCAGGTTGCATTAGCTGATCTTATAATCATCAATAAAACAGATTTGGTTTCAGAAGAAGAATTGAATAAAGTCAGAACGTCTGTGAGGTATGAAACTTTTGGCATAACTGTAACACTACTTCCTCAAAAATTAATTTAAACACAGTTACTTCTTTACTGCTGTTAAAATAGAAATTAGATCTCATTATTAGATGGACAAAATTGATAAGCTTTATAAGAGAAAAGAGACTGCCTCTTTTGAAAGATACTTCAGTACTTCTATGTACTTACACAATCTTAGCATTTTGTCTATCTTGCTAAGATTTGTTGTTGTTTAGTAAGGACAGACCTTTGTCTTAAGTGTTTATGTTTTTACATTTCTGAGCAGCTGATGCCATTTTTTGAGAATTAGCAGAAGTGGAAAAAAATCTGCTGGTAAATATGAGTTCACTAGCAAATGGAAATATATATGGAGGAAGTCCCAAACAATTGTCGTGGAAGCAGATGAACCAATGGTCTGAATCAAATTAATGATCAAAGACATTACTCTTTTCTATCAGTACCATGATAAGCCAGATGAAGCATTAACATTTTAAAATATTTAACAACTGTATTAGTTTTTTGAAATATGAAAAGTGCTTAGACTGAGCAGAGTGTATTGCGAATAGCTTTGGATAGGAAAATGCTGTTCTCACTGTGGCATCTTGTTGTCAGAACTTGTGAAGTTCACCAGCTGTTAGTGGAAACCAAATATCTCAACCCATATCTGATAGTTATTTAACAAGCTGATAACGGAGTTGGGATGCTATTTCACATGATGCTGTCCATGGTTAACATATTCAAACAATATATCACCATTATATTTTCATCTAATGATTTTTCTGTTTTATTTTAGGTCAATAAATGGACTTGTTAAAATTCTAGAGACACAAAGATCAAGGTATTAAATGGCCACTATTACTAGGTACTAGATCCTGCTTCTTTTGTGTCAGTTTAAAGTGTTCTATTGAATCAGTTTTATTAAAGGAAAATTATTGAATTAGAAATATTTAATCCAATATTTATTTTATGAAAAAGCATCTAAAACTTTTTTTAGGAAGTAAAAATGTATTTCTGGTTTGTATTTTTCTTCATTAGTGTTCATATCACAGAATACTAGAATGAGTGAGGTTGGAAGAGAGCACAGTGTCCAACCCTCTTGCCAAGCAGTGTCATCCCCGAGCACATGGCACAGGATTGTGTCCAGATGTTTTTTTAATATCCCACATGAAGGAGACCCCACAGCCTCTCTGGGCAATCTGTTCCTTTCACCACACAGTAAAGTACTTGCTCATGTTCAAGTGGAACTTACTGTGTGTCAGTTTCTGCCTGTTCCCTGTTGTCCTGTTGTCTGGCAGCACTGAGAGCCTGGTCCACCCTCCCTTCAGATACTTCTATACACTTAGAAGGTCCCCACTCAGTCATCTTTTTGAGTCTGAACAGGCCCAGCTCCCTCAGCCTTTCCTTATCAGTGAGTTGCTTCAGTCCTGTAAACATCTTTGTTGCCCTCCCCTGGATTCCCTCCAGGAACTCCGTGTCTCCCTGTGCTGAGGAGCCCAGAACTCCAGCTCAGAACTCCAGAACAGGGCACAGAACTCCAGGTACAGCCTTACTAGATTGACTGGAGGGGCAGGATTACCTTCCATGAACTGCTGGCAGTGCTCTTCCTAAGGCATCTCAGGCCACCCTTGGCCTTCTTGGCCACAAAGATACACAGTCAATCAACCTTGTGACTGAAGAGCAGTTTGCACAGCCACGTAGGTTTTGAGCTAATAATTGGGTATGTGCACTACAGTGTTTTCCTTCAGTTGTGTCACCCTAAATATTATTCTCATTGCTGCTGCAAATAAGTTGTTACTACAGAATGACTTTGAAAGCAGTAGAAGGAAGTTAAAAGACCAAAAAAAAAATCATTGCACTGTTTTTTGCCAATTTTAATTGAAATTCTGAGTCAGATTTCTTCTTTAGTAAGGACTTAAATGGATTCTGTATTCCCAGGAGAGTTAGGAGAGCAGTAGATCTTCCAGACTGCTAGGACTGATTTGTGCACTTTTACATCAATTATTGGATTATTGTGGTCAGTGTTTGTGATTTAAGCAAATTTAAAGGAAAGGTAATATTCGTAATAAAGTATACTTGGCTTTTTAAAGTTGCTGTCAAATGTAGTTGGAAATTGTAGAGAAAAATACTTGCTGTTGTTGGGTGATCATATAGGACCAATTTTGAAGAAGATACTGAACTACATTATTTGTGTTTTAAATGTCCATTAGGGGGAGATCCAACATGTGATCTCTTTGCGTATTTTATAGTGTCTGATGCCAGCTAGCACTGTGTTTTGGATATGAGATAAAGCGGGCCTCAGATTCAGTCCTCAATGACAATTCTTTGTTACTTGTAAATATTCTTCTGCAAATGACATATACAGTCTCTTCCATTATTAAACGTTCCAAATGTGAATTCAGCACAAAATTGATTTATTGGCATGTTATTTGACGACATACCCTTAAGAGGGGTTTGCTCCTCGAAACCCCACATTTAAAAGGGAGGGTTGCTATGTGATTTTTTTAGAACACTGCTGAGAACAACTGACACTGAGCTGGTCATTAATTTTACACAGGAATTGTTTGTGTATTCCATTATAAATCTTTCATCTTAGAAACTGCTTGGTACAACTACTGTTGAATGTAAAAGTTTAATGATTCTGCTTGTATTCCAGAGGTGGGCTTTTTACCTGTCATGTTCTTTTCCTTTAGCCCCATGTCATTAACTGTGTCTGAAAAGCTGTCAGTTGCTATTAGCATGAAATCTGTAGTCTGTATTGCTTTGTGAAGAAAAGTTTCTTATACAAGTTTATAGGTAGCCATTCTTGTAAGCAGATATGATTGGTACTGCCTAATCTGTATTGCATTTTTTATTTGTCTGTTTCAAATTGTAGAGTTGAAATTCGTAGTAGTAGTGCTTCCCTCATGAAGTTGTTTCAGTTTTGTTTGCTAACAGTGTGTCAATATAAGCTACATGTATTCTGGGAGTTTGTGTCTGTATTGAGAGGCTTAAGGCTCCTTTTCCCCTTCAGGGAAAATAATTTTTTATTCAGACAAAATGAATAAGGGATTTTATCATACTTTTGGAAATACCTTGTATTTTACTGTATAACAGTAAAAATTTAAAAGTTTTGTTTCTGTGCTTACATGTTATTGTGTAACTAAACACAGCATTTTCTTGTAGAAGACAGTACCAACCACTGATATTCAAAAATAAGGCTAAGTATTAATGGCATTAGTCTTATAGACAAGAAAAGAAATATATGCTTCAGTAAACCCCTTTAAAACCTTTAAATACATGAAAATACATGAAAAACACAAAGCTTGCTTTTTTCCCCTCTCTTTAGAGTTGATCTCTCTAATGTATTGGACCTACATGCTTTTGACAGTTTATCTGGAGTGAGGTATGGTGATAATTTTCTTCTCTTGTATTAGACAAAAAATACCTGTGTATGAAACAGACACACTGAAATCCTGGCTCAAATTTGCATCAGATTTTCTCTTAGAATTTCTAGTTTAGTCTGTCCTGTCTACAGGAGGACAGTCCCATTTTAAAATTTATTGCTTTATAAGTGGTAATACTAGAAGGGATTCCTTTCTTCTTCAAATGCCTGCAAAAACCTTTTTGACCTTATAAAGTTAAGTGAGCCAGAGTTTGTGTGGTTGGTTGGGTTTTTCCCCAAAATGCAGGTTTTGGTTTAGTATCAGAGTAGATTTGTACACTTCTCTGGTTCTTTCAAAGCATTTCAAAATTTTTTCTCCTTTGTATTGTGATGAAATGGAGGTTTCTGTAGATTTCACACAAAAGAATGAGGGACTGAGGTTCCACAGCAAACAAAGGTTCTACAAATTCTGCTAACTATGTTTGTCATTCCTGGGGTTTTTAAATGCTGAATGCATGATTCAGCATCCTGGATGGGTGCAGGAGTAAAATGAGAAGGAAGGGGGAAAGGTCGTATGGTTCATTGTGTGAACAGAAAGACCTGAAGAACAGTAAAGGGAGTGAGGAGTACTGGAGCAATCATTAAGTAAAGGAGGGAAAAGGAGGATAATATCAGCTTCATTCTTCAGCAGGGAGAAATTGCAGACATGCAAATTAGTAACATCTATTAGATAACATGTGCTTGTGAGATGTCCCTCTGAACTGGTACAGTACTATCAAAATGATAGGTTTTGTCTTTTTTTGCTGGCACTGGCTTTGTCTAATCAGTGAAATACTGTAGTGTTTGTTTCAAGATTTCTACCAATGGCAGCATCAGCGAAGTGCCAAACTAGGCATCCAAAACAAAGTTAAGGAAGGAAGGAGACTGGTATGTCCTTTAGAGGCAATAGATAACTATTAGTTTGTAAGCCAGATCATAAATCCACATTCCAAGTTCTTATAATGGATCAGCTAACTGAATTGACTCATCCTGGAGCCACACAGCAGAGATAAAGCAGTAAAAAGATGTGAACCAGAAAAAGATTGTTCCTGTTAACAGCAGTTCACAGTTAGATCTGATTACTTGTAATATTAGGTGGTGTTCTGTGAAGTTTACTAGTTTGCTGCACTCCACAGATCTGAAAAAGTTCTTAAGGAACTGACAAAAAAATCTTTATTGCTTTCCTCAATCTAGTGTTCTCTCTTATCTCACTCAGTTACTTTGAGCTTCTTAATATTTGGTATTAAAACAGAGGAAGCATTCTAAAACATTTGTCAGCGTTTAAAGACAAATTCTAAATTACCAAGAAGATTTTAGACAGTTTATTTTGTTTGTGTTTGAACTCAGCGCAGCACAATTGCTTACCCTGTTTTTAGTTCCTAGACACAGAAATTCTTACATAAAATAGTGGTGGTTTCAGTGCCATCACCTGAGTAGAAAAACTTTGCATCCAACACCCACTTGAAAACAAATACACACCAGTACATAAATAATTTTTTTCTTTTGATGGCACACTGCAGGAGGGATTTCTGTCAGCAGACAGATGTGTCATCTGTTTGGTGTGACTGTGTAACAGAGCCTTGTAGTCTGGATATACCCTGAAGTCACAGGAAGCACATAATGAATTCTGGATTCTGTGAAGGGCAGTATGAGAATAAGACAGCAAAGCAAAGGAAGTAGGAGAAGTAGGAACGACTTGTGTAGCAGATAGTGCCTTTTTTCCCCCCACCATAAAGGCTTCTTAAAATTTTACAATCATCAAATTAGGAGGAGGGACTTTAATGGGCAGTCTTCTCTGAAGTGGCAGAGGGTATCATAGTAACTTGTGCTACAGTATTTCTTCTCTGTTTGTTATTCACAATATAGAGAGAAAACAGAAACAGTACAGAAGATGATATTTGAAGAAATTTTGTGCTATCTTGATTAATTGAGACAGATGTGGTTGTGAAATCTAAAGTCGCAATACAATTTTCACACTAAAAGATGCAGTAAGACCCTAAATATTAGTTTACAAAAGAGGTTCCCAAGTAGAGCTTGAACTTAGGGTCTTACTGAGTAGAGAATATCTGTTTTAAGTTAGCAGGCACACTGCATAGTAGAAGTGAACCGTACAGCTGAGTAGTGGAAGCTGGTATACAGTATTTCAATAAGTGTTACAGATTTCATTCTCTCAAGCAACAGCTTTGTACATTCTTCTTCATTTTCAAATAATTGTAAAGTTTTTAAAAATATGAACATCTGTTAACTTGATAAATTCTAGTGGTTTATTTTTTCTTGCTTGTTTTAATGATGTAGTTTGCCTTTTTTGCAGAAAGGAGTATCAAGGGCCTTGTGTTCATTGAAGTATAAATGTTTTTAATGCTGAAGATATTGCAAATCAGGACTATAATTCTCTTTATGTTTTAAAAAGCATAATTTTCTAACACAAACAACTATAGCAAACAAATATAGTTAAACATTTCTATTTTGAGATTAAAAATAAATTAACTGTTGAAGTTTATTCTGAATATATAGTCTATCTGATATTTCAGCTTTGCTCTGCAATACTGGAATTTTAAAAATTTTGTAATAATGACATTTTGCCAATCCTACTCAAATGCAACATTTAACTTCACTTATTTTCAGTTTGCAGAAAAAGCTTGAGCATGTAAAGACAACACATGCACATCTAGATAAGGTAATTACCAAAAATACTGCTTTGATGTTTTTGCAACAACAGGGCTATTCAATATTGCATGCTAATTTTGTTACCATTTCAGAAGGTTTCAGTTAGGGAGTAATGTGTTCTAAGGTATTTGGAAGATGACCTAGATTACACAATAGGAATGTGCTTTATTGTAGATAGATTCTAAATGGCTATGTTAAGTCTCACTTTTAAAAATAGCTTATAGGCTTCCAGTGCTCCAGACAGTTATATCATTTGTTGATTCACATGGAGAGTATTAGTGAACCAAATAGAACCACTTTTTTTTTTTTTTTAAGGTATTTGCAGGAACAAGTGCTAAATTTGTAGCCAGTCTGTCCTATAGGTTTTCTATCCAAAACAAAATCTCTCTAGTTGAATTGTGGGTCACAGTCCTCCTTGGGGTGTCCGTAAGTGGGTGGAGTTCACCCATAGGCCACGAGTCCCCTCAGAGGCTGCAAAAAAGTAAAAATTTCTAATTTTTTAAGGGGTCTTGGAGAAGTGAGCTTTCTGCAGAAGGTTTGTATAATTGAATTTTCAGGTTAAAATATGATGCATACCATGCCTGTATTTTTATTTTTAAATTGCATAATTTAACTGTGAAGTTGCTAGGCTTGGAAACAGGAAAAGGCAATAATAATTTCGTTTTGGAACTACAGATTAAATGCAAAATCAGTTTATGCTTAATTACAATGACAATACTGATAGTTTTTGTTTAATCAAAATTCTTAAATATGCTCAGTTATAGAATCTTAATAGATCCCTAAGGTAGATGGAAATGTTGAATAGAATCCTTCCTGAATGTTATGAGTTATATTGTGTGTTTTATTAAGGAGATTAATGTTAGTTTTGTAGTGTGTAGCCATTCGACAGAACTCATTGTTAGTATCTGTGTTTAGTTTAACACCCACATATTTAAGATGATTTGTTGAGATGTTTGAGGCATAATGAGGACAGAACACTTCTCACAGTAGGCTGCAAGATCTTGTTGTAAGACAAAGTGTGCTTATTATCTTCATGTTGAAGGTCAGCAGAAACAAACTGCACTGTGCTTGGAGCACAGTGAACTTCGGTCTGACGTCTTTTGAAGCTGCTCAGGGTGTTAGCTCTTGGTTGTTTAGATAAGTTTACTTATCATTAGACAAACATTTGCTGCCTGTTGCTTTAATTTTTTTTTTCCTTAAGTTTAGACTAGTGATCAGAAGGTAGTAATTTGAAAGCATTACAGGAAGTAATTATCTCTCTGTTCTTCCAAAGCATTGAGCAGTTATAGTGACAAAAATAAGACGTTGTTTAGTCTTTAAATAAATTGTTAATTTTAAACTACATGTTTTATTTTCATATTTTCTTTTGGTAATTGAGCAGCTAGCTGGCAGTTGCTTTGGCGCAAAACTTAACTTGAGACATCTTTATTTTCTGAATCTGTTTATAAACAGCTTTTTTTACAAGGCAAATACAGATTGCCTTTTATGAAAATTATGTTGTATTTTTTGTCTGATAGTATTGTCATCAAGATCAGTAAGCAAAAAAAATAGCATTGTTAACCATATTTGAAAGCTTGATCATAGTAGTCTCTACAGCAAAGAATTACATGGTAGCAGCTAATGGCACTAAACTATTCAAGGCATTGTATCTGCCCTATAAGTGCACACCCAAACAGAAACAAAAAGTAGAGCTTAATTTAGAAAATTAGAGCAGAACAGAAATAGAGTTTTGGTTTTTTTTTTAAAGTTGATGTTGTCATATACTTGCCTTTTTATGAGGCCAAGTTATAAAGAACACTTTTTGAAATTACTGTTACGGGATGTTTATTCAGTGTGGTAATAATAAGTGTCTTGCCTTTTGCAGGCTATAATCACAGTAACATTTGAAGTTCCAGGAAATATAAAAGAAGAAAACTTAAATCTCTTTATTCAGGTAAGTAATACATCACTGTCAACTCAAAAAATCATGGTAGCTTTTTATAGAAACTCATCCCATGCCACTTTGTTTATGGAAACAACTTTTTCTTTTCATAGAGTCTTCTGTGGGAGAAGAATGTGAAAGATAAGACTGGATGCACCATGGATGTCATAAGACTGAAGGTCAGTCAGAAATTATCAGTTTCTTTGTTGTGCGTTTTTCATTTTTATACCTAAAAAACTGCATTGTGCTGTCAGTTATGGACCTGTCAAAGGTGCTGCTGATCACTGTAGGAGAGCAGATGAAATGGAGAGTAGCAAGTTGTCATTCCATGAATGACTCAGAGAGAGATAGCTGGCAGAGGAGCAAACATTGATCCTACTTGTTTTAAATGGGGAGGGCAGATGTACAGTCCCCATACATCAATGGCAGGGCTAAAAATCAAGCCATAGTTAAATCACTTTTAATTTTATACCTCCATTGCTTTGAGAGATACTATTCATCTCACATATCTAGGGTTGGGATACTGTAGATTGGATCCTATAGATTGCTAGGTGTAATTAAAATTGTTGCCATAATATGCAGAAATTCAGTTTGGTGTAACATAGGAATGCAGTAGTAGTTGTGGTGTACAATTAACAAGTTTTTACAGTATTGTCAGGCTGTTGTTTTAAAGATGCAGCTCATAAGTATTCATCTTCATGGGCACTTCATATGTTCTTCAGTTGCTTGGTTTGGAGAAGAGTAGAGGTGACAATTCAGGATCTACTTTCATTTACCTTATGCCAAGCAGCCCAGGAAATAATGAAAAAATAAGAATCCAGTCAGTCATTTGTCAGGCTGTAAGAAATATAAGAAAGTAAAGCTCTGGTTTGTTTCCTGAGAACCCTTGACCATCCTAGATAGAAACATAATTATTCTAGTTTTATAGGAAGGAAAGTTGTTTTCTTTCTTTCTCAGCAACAAAATTAGAGTATCCTGGTCTTCTCCTTCCTAACAAATAGAAGAGAGTAGCCACTGATGTATCTGAAGCTGCCTGAAAAGCAGTAATGCCATGCACAATTGTGTTTTTGGTGTACTGAGCACTGGAATCAAATTAATTCTTTGAGATGTGAAGCCTGTGGTAAGATGTGTGCTGTCCGTCAATCACAGACAAACACACCAAAGCAAATGAACCTCAGGCAACTAATTACAGAACAGGTTCCAGAGTTTGCTTTTATATTTATGTTTTATCTGCAGTCATGACCCTTTTGGCAGTAATAGTTATAGAATTCCAACTAATAGGTCAAATGGAGACCTATTTTATGAAATATTTTAAACTTACTTTCTTTAGGGAAGTGTCCTGGTTTTGGGCAAATTCTGGGAGGAACTTCCAGGAAGTATAAGACATGTTTTACAGAATGTGCTCCACTAAAATATTTTAGAACATTGTGCTATGAAGTGATGAAAACTGTTTTAATAGAGCTTTTGATATGTGAGTTAATGGACTCATGCTGACTGTGATCTCTTCTAATTCTGTTGCTAGTTGTTTTATTTCACAAATGTTTATTCTTTCCCCAATATTCAGAGGTGCTGTTTCAGAAAAGTAAATATACTGAGCATAAGAGCTTAATTAAACTAATCTGAAATCAAACATTTTTGTTCATGTTGCATCATTTTATTGGCACGCAGGCTTTCATGGACTCCCATGTCAAACACCATATATTCATTCAAAGAGGCATAGTAGATGATGACATTTAATTTTTGCTTGGGCAGCCTAGGTACTGACAAATGAGGAACAAAAGGCAAAGTATGGTAAAATGTAATTCGTAGCCTTTAACAAAATAAGGAGATGTGAAAATGGATGTTATAAGTACATGTGTTGATTGATAATATATGTTTATTTTGACTAACAAGTTCACAGGTCCCAGAAGTACTATTCCCTCTTGAACTAGATTGGAAGTTTTGTTTCCCCTCTTACATATTTTATTTTTAAAGTTTTGTTTATATACCCTAACAGTTATTTTTCTGATAAGGGACTGGTATCTATTCAAGGCAAATCTCATCAAGTGATAGTCCAAGGTGTCCATGAGCTCTATGACCTAGAAGAGACTTCAGTAGCCTGGAAAGAAGATGAAAAGAGAACAAACAGGCTGGTCCTAATTGGTAAGAGGAAATTATGCATCTCTTTCCTTGGGTTTAAAAAGCTGTTTTCTCACAGACAGTCTCACAGACTTGGCCAGTGAAAAGCAATGAGGCTAAACTGGCCAGAATTAGTGCAGTAAGTTTGTTCAGCTTAACCCTCTTTTTAAGGCTTATCCATCAAAACCTCCTGAAGTTCAAAATTGCAGCAGAGAGGAGTCTACACTATCCCTATTAGTGCCACCAAAATCAAACCAAATCAATAAAATACTAAGCTTTCATAAATTATGTTGACATATTTAATCTTGTTTCTAAAATCTGTAATTATAAATTGGGTGATGGGAATAGTTTGAATGTTTGATCAAATATTTAGTAACTGTAATGAAGATTATTATAGCTTTAAAATGTTTAAAATCAGTTTTGTTTCTGAAAAGCTTGCAATGCAGAGATTCTATGTTTCTGTTTTCTATTTATTTGTTTGCTGTGAAAAGTGTTTTATTACCAAAAATAACCTACTTTTTTCTCTTTCCCTTATTTGTGCTTGAAGTCTCTTGTTGCCTTAATTTTAATACTGCTATTGTCACTGATTGATATAATAAACACTTCCTTAGGTTAGAAGAAGCTACTTGTATGTGTTTTAATGCACTGTAAAATACAGTTAGATATTTTATTTCTCTTTACAGGCAGGAACCTGGATAAGGACATCATCAAAGAAGTATTCATAGCCACTGTGAGAGAAGAACAAGGAAACAGTTGACATAAAACTATAAAAAAGATTAAATGTCTGTTTTAATACTGCAAGGATTTTATGGCAGAGAAGACTGAATGGCATGGACTATAGTAGTTTCTATATCCTCTTGCAATTTATGCAACAGTTGAATCCTGAAGTCTTCCTAAGAATTCCAGCTGACCTACTGCTTTAAGATTAGTTCTTATAGTCCAGAATCAAACACAATTCTCCTATTTTAGATTTGGCTGAAGCTGTGTCAGCAACATCATGGAACTGTGCAGAAATTGAGACAGGCAAAAGGCTGTTATGTTCTACGTGAAACGTTACTATGGGGATATGGGGAACGTGTTTGAAGCCTAGTGCTTTCTCTTGCTAACTCTCTTCCACTGGGAATGAAGCAATAGTGATTATTGCCAGTGGTATAATCACAGTACAAAATGTTTAGTGTTTACTATTAAACTGTCTTCCATCTCTTTCCACTTGATTTGTGATTTTTGAGTGTATTGTTCTACCTGTAGACCTGTTGTGTAATGAAAATAAAAATACACAGGTAGCAGAGGCACAAGATCACATGGAGTAAATGCTGTCTACACAAAAGCTGTGCATGCAGTGTTTGGTCACATAGTCAGCAGTTTAAAAGAGGTAGCTGAACTCTTCAATCTTATAGTCCATCACCCTTCCAGTTCAGGATCTGGGGAACTGGGGACTGCACCTTTCCACTATGTTCAGGCTGCTCTGCATGATTTCTAATGCGGTTCTGTGACACTACTTTGAAAACACAGTCTGAAGCTTTTATCTCTCTGCTCATTACAATTTAGATTTGACCTTCTTGCCCTCTACTTTCTCCAGTACTCTTTGTTCACCTCTTAGCTTTAGAGGGATATTTTGACTGCAGCTGTGTGAAAGCAAAATGAGTCAATGCAGGAAGATAATGTAGAATTAAAAATGTTTGCAAACAAAATTCTAGGACCTGCAGTATTGAAGGATGGACTTTTAGCTATAGTGCTTGCTGTGGATGCTTGGTGATGTGTCTGAGTAAGCAGAAACTTGTCTCACACCTAACATTAAAAAGAAAAGAAAGAAGGCCATTCCCTCAGTCTCTTCTTCAGGCAGTATCAGCAGTCTTTGCTTCTACTGCAGTATATGAGTTTGGAATTTGTTTTCAAAAGGGCTGAGGATGAAGACATTAATCTTTCACTGCCTGGAGCTGGTGTCTCAGTTGATTAAAATAAATAATATATCTTAGCTAAGATAGAACTCTTTACTCTCCCAGTAGATACATTGGCAGGCATGACTTCATTCCTCACATTAGAAGTAGCTTTAGATAGCTTGAAGTAGTTTTCAGGACTTCTTTTTTTCTCTGAAGCAAGGTATAAAGAGAGAACAATCTGCTTACACAATGTTGCTTTCTGTTTAGCAGACCTTGGTCGCACCTGAATGAACTGGTATAGCTGAGTGACACTGTTTCCCTTAGCAGTTAGAACTCTTCATTTTTAAAACTAGTATATGTTCTCACACTGTTTTGGACTGCATAAATGACACACTTTCCTGCATGAAAATTTGTCAAATGATTGCCATCACTGTTATACATTGAATATTAAGATCACATAAATTTAAATTTGTGGATAATACATTTATAATTTTTAGTGCTTTTGCTTCCATTTGTCACAGGAAAAGTGATCAAAATGCCTCTTATAAAAGCCTCATGTAATGGAGGAACTCTGTTCCCTTTAAAGCAAATAATCTCTGAAGTGTTGTTAACTTTCAGTTTGAAAAAAAGTTCAGAGACCTAATAAAAAGAGCTTCAACCATGAATCATAAGGGGAAAAGGTATGGATGGCTTACACAGAGTCATTTTTGAGTGCTTATTTTTAAATATTTGTTCACCCAACACAGACTCCACCACATGATAAAATTTCCAATGATGACTGTCAATATACTGGGGGTTTTGTTGCTGCAGAGGGGCATTTCTGCAGCTGGAAGTATAAGTTCTGCACTGTCTATAGCTCATGTTGGTGTCACTTACCCTTTCTTGCTAGGACTTTCCCTGCACTGCTTGCAATGCTCACGTCAGAGAAGCTCTAGTCACTATGCACATCTTGTCTGCTTGTCTTCTGTAAACTGCCTGCATATTTCAAGGCATCCCCTGGGATGGAGAGCAAGCAGCTCCTCAGCAGGGGTGGAGTTTGTTCTCCTCTTGCTGGCTGACACGATGCCCCAGCGCTTTGTCCTCTATTCTGTTCACACATAATGAGACTGGAAAAATGCCAAGCACCTCATCTTTATCCCCATCTCCCAAGAAGCCCACTGGTTACATTTCTTGGATATTTACTTAACCAGTATTTTCTCATCGGTTCTTACGTGCACAGGCTGGGGTCCTATGTCTTATCTTTGCATCATGCCAGAACCAAAAGAAAAGGAAAGATAATGACAGCTCTGTAAAAGCTGTGTAATTACTGTAATATTTGTGTTACTGGGAGCTATGTCAAGGATGGCCTTCTCCAAGGAGCTACAATTGGGCTGAAGTGAGGTTGTGTGGGAGGGTGAAATGGACAGGCAGACACCACTCAGCCCTGTCTTGGGGTTGTGGTGTGGATGGTGGGGCAGCCAGGGGATGCTCAGGTTAGGGTGAGGAGGGATCTGGTGAAGGCAAACATTAGCAGTTCTTCCTGTGCAGGTTCCAACAGGGGCACAGCCACACCTGAAGAAATGATGGCTATCTAGACCTGGCCTTACTTCCCAGCCAGACAGCTCGCACTAATGGTGCTTCGGTCCCTCCACCAAGAGCACAAAACTACGTAGGAAGTGATCTTGTCAACAAACCCCACACATTTTGTTCCCTAGCAGAGGATGAGGAATTTCTGTCCTAGAGGGAAATTGCAATGATTTGATCATTGTGCCTTCATGAATATCAGACATCTACAGAAATAGATTTACAAAGCAGCATTTTTCCCCACGGTATACTTTCCACATGGTTTTAGGAGCTCCATTAAACTTTAACAAAAATTATATCCTTACACTCTTGTGCCATTTGTTTATATCACCTGTTAGGTTTAATCTTCAGGAATTACCTGGGAAGATTAATGGATGATCACAGTTTAATTTATTATGCCCTTTAAAATTTAGGCAGTTCTGAATTTGGTAGTATTTTACTAGATTCTTACTTTTTAATCCTTATGTATAATCTCCCACCTGCTGGAGCATGGAACATGTTTTCCATGTCCCATTCCAACTCCTGTAGGCAGGATATGACCAGAGGGGACACAGGATGGATAGGGTTGGGTTCCCAGCCACTTGCTGTCTTTGTGAGCCACCCTGTTTCTCTACTGCCATCATCAGCCCAGCTGCCCTGCAGAGCTCACAGCAATGGCATCTGCCTCTCCTTGTGGGGCATTTCCTCTGCTACCAGGAACGCTGGCCCAAACAGTGTCCATTTTTTGTTACTCCTCCCTCAGACCACATAAGCAACCATGATTTCCTCATCCTGCACTGCTCTACAGCTTCACATTGCTTCCAGATTTGTTATATAAATTGCATATACATTATATACACTAAATACAGGTCCAGATCTGCATGGTTTTAACTGATTGTAGCTGAATTGTTTATAGCAGTGGGATTCCAGTGCTAGGCCTGTGCTGCGTTTCTTATCGCCCCTAATGCCTGTACTCCTCTACAATACTTGTCTCCACTTCTCAAGGCCACTGATACTGTATCAGTGATGTTTCCCTATGCTTCATCCTTACATTAAAGCCATAAATAACTCATCCTACACAGAATGGCAGCTTGTAACTACTAGCTGTAAAAACACTAGCTGTAACATTCAAGGATAAAAAAGTAAAACAAATTAGCAATTTACACCTGGCCAGTTAGAGATACTGCTGTCACAAATAAATTGAAGTAGTCAGAGCTTCAGGCGGGTCAGGAAAAGACTGGCCAGATCAGGTGTGGCAAACCTCAGCCCTGAGGTGCTGCACACGCACTGCAAAGCCTGTGGCCCGTTACTGGCAGTGGCAGTGGCATCCTGCAGGATGACAAGGCTACATTCCCATCCCAGTGCCCTACACATGGTCCTTTGCTCTTCCAGCCGTGTACGGGCAGGCAAAGGGAACAAAGAGGAAATCCAAGTCTGGCTATCACCAGCAGCTTCACAGAGACACCAGGGCTCCAGTGCACCTTGGTCTCAGTCCCACATACACCAACATCCACAGAAATTTTCAGAAAAGAGTGCAGCTCTAACAGATCAAGCGTCAAGCATTCTAGGAGGTGTATTGCTCATTGAGAAATGAGTAAAGCACTTGTAACTTGAATTTACTTTAAAATACTGGTCTAAATTGTGTTTTCATTGTAGTGTTTCCAGTCTTTGAGCAGCATGGACTTACTAATCTTACTGTCCTCACTCAGCTAGTCTGAAATACCTACTAATTTCACATTGCTCTCTTAATAGGATTCAAATCTGTTGCATCTCTTTCTGTTTAATAATTTCAACTGACAAGCACAATTAATTTGTTTTTTGGTTTCTTTATTGATTTCTCTGTACTGTTCTTGAAATGTTCAAGCTTCTTTTTTATCAAAATGAGCAGCTAATAATAATCTTATGCTATTAAAATTGGTATTTTTTATAATTTCACTTAAATGCAACAGTAAAGGCTACATTTCTCTGTCTTGACCAGTGCAGAATTTTGTTTTAATAAACAAGAGGCTGGTGAGAACCATGGCATTGGATCTCATAAAGTTTATTCAAACCCCCTACATATATACTACAATTGCCTGCTATCAATGTATAACAATATAATTGTAATGTTACAACAAGATGAAAGGGCCTGGTTTTTGTAAACTGATGTGGCTACTATCAATATGCTGGGGACTACCTGGTAAAAGGCTTGACATTCCTATGACATTTAAGCTGTTCTTTCCAGGAGGTTTCAAACACAACCATAGAATCACAGAATCATAAAACAGTTTGGTTCAAATGGGATCTTTAAATGTCATCTAGTCTAACCCCTGCACTGAGCAGGGACATCTTCAACTAGATTGGTTTGCTTATAAATCACAGCCTGAATAAACAAAACTTTTAAAATCATAATGTTTTTATTTGCTTCTTGGTAAATGTTCTGCTACTTGTTTCTGAAAACATGCCTGTGGGATCAATGTGTCTCTTACAGGAATTGGAGGAAGGTGAGTAAAAATGAAAACTGACACAGTTGCTGGAGTTCTGGTTTGCAAACAGGAATATCAGAAAGTCCTATTTCAGAGGACAACTCAAAGTTAAAAGCAGTATATTACTTGAACTGAAATAAAGACTTTACTATCCAATAAGTAAGAAAATTTTACTTGGTGAAGAACTCTGCTGTTTTTTCCAGGGGAAACCGAATTTGATCCAAAAGAGGATTTATCTCTGCCGCTCCACTTTGTTTTTCCCTTCTAGTAGCCGATCTATTCACAGGTAGGAAAAGTCACATTAAACGAGTATTTGGTGTCACCTAGTGGTTACATTTGTTTCAGCAACTTTGTCAGCTGTACAGCGATGCTGATGGACTCTTCTAGGAAATTCTGTTTGATTTTGGTGTCAAGCTTTTTTCCTAGTTGGTAAAAGAGAGAGATTATGGAAAATAAAAATCTGTATCACTTTAGGCTGATTGACTCTAGTGTGAATCTAGTGACTGATTCACTCTAAAATCAGAGTGAGGTTTTTTTTTCCCCCCTGCAAATTCTTTCCTCTTCCTTCTAAAAGTAAGAGAATACTGACTTTATGGTTTTGATGGAGGACTTTGCTGACACAGTTGCAGGACTGAATTATGATATCAAAAGTGCCTGAGAAGGTAAGTTTTAGCTTTCCTGACCCACTGTCATAGAAGGAGGGATTACTTTAATCATGTTCTTCAAAAAAGAGGTGGTCAGAGTGCAAAGTGCTGTGCTCATGAATTTTTTTAGTTTGGTGGGGATTTTCTTTTTATGTCCCCCGAACCCTCAGGTATTCCTGATGCTACAGGATGGACAGTGTTGCTGATTAACTATATAGCCATGAAAGTGACTGGATGGGAATTGGCATGTTTGACATAATCTGATCCAAATTAAAACCTGGCAGACAAAGATCAACAAGAGAAAGTCAAACCAGCACCCTCAGTTAAATAGGTAGGTAGAAACGGCCCTTCCCTTCTGTGCAAGAGGAGCATCCTGGGGAAAAATAACTGGTAATTCTAGAGTAACTAAGCATGTTCCTTCTCTAAAAGCACTGTGGCCTAAATAAGACTGACTTGTTCAAACCAGTTCAATGACAGATTCATTTTTGCAGTAGTAGGCTGCAGAACCAGATGAAAGGTCAGGCAAAACCAAGAATGGAAGGTACATGAAAACAGAAACCTTGTTTGTCTGACAACAGTTTTCCAAATTACATATGTACTAATGGATATCCCTAACTAAACACGCTTCCTGGCTTGCAGGTCGTGAGAACCGAGAGCAAACTCTTCAGAGATGTGCCAAAAGGGTTGGTGGGTTACAAAAGAGAAAAATAAATCAGACTTTGGCTGCGGACAGAGCTCTGCAGAGGCTGAGAGAACAGATATGCCCACAGAAGGAGGCGCTGCTCCACCACTTTCCACACCTCACGGTGGCACCTGCAGGCACCCAGGGTCCTCAGCTGCTTGTCAGGATTTGGATCCAAATCTCTTGAGGCATCCTGAAATTACGCCTTTGACTCGTTTTCTGTGATTTTTCCCTGGACTTTAGTGAAAGGTTTCTTCTGGACTATTTTTATAATTTTAAAGAACTGTTCTCATGTCTGTCTGATCTTCCAGAAGAAACAATCAGAGTGACTT